ATTTGAATCTTCCTCCTCAAAACTGAAGTCAAACCATAGGGTAGACTGGGAAGCCACCGTGGATCTCCTCTGGATCTGTGGCATCCCCTAGTTCTTTTTCCTTTGGATCCTTTAATAAATGTCCCAAGTTTGAACAATTCTCTTTTGCACACATCTTCGTCCAATTTCGTTGAAAAGTCCGATCTTTTTGAAGTCCTTGAAGATAATTTTTTCTGATTTTTGTCGAGAGTATTCTTAAGTGATTTCGGTCATTTAAGATGTAAGTAACTATAGGGGTTTGCCCTTATAGGGAGCTTTTCCGAACCCAAATTAAAATAAACCCTATTTAATTTTTTCATATTAAATAGGGGAATTTGTCGGCAAATAAAACGGTTTCGCAGACCAAACGGACGTCATATATATCTTAGTTTACCTGATCGAGCCTCATTCTCAAGTCTTGTGTTCTGTAAATATATATCTTAGTTTATCTGATCGTTTCCAGAGCCGAGAAAAAAAAAATTTATGCAGAAATTAAAAGCAATGTAATCAACAAGTTGAGGGACGTTGGGCTGAGCATGAAAACACTTCCTTCCACAAGAACCAAGAAAAAATTAAAATTAAAATAACCACCTCATTAGAGAAGTTACAACAGAATACTTAAGGCTAGGGTTGATGGACGCTCTCCTCCATGATTGGACCACAAAGCATCCGGTCATGGCGCCGACAAGGTGTAGCCGAACAACAAAAATGAGGGAGAGAGAGCCGGATGAGGGATGCTTGGCTGTGTAAAATATCAAGAAGGGGTTTATTCAAATTTAGTTACATATCAACATCTAAATTTGAAGTTTTACATTTATACCACCAATGGGCTTTTACATATATAAATGAAACTTTAGGTGTGAGATAAGTAAATACATAAGAATTTGGTGCTAGGTATGTAATTTTCCCAAAATTAAAATGGTCTATATATAAAAATTAAAGTTTAGATGTTTGATATGATGTGATATATCTCAATGATATAGTTTTGTGTGATGGGTGAGTTAGGGCATTTTTTTTATGAGAATTTTTTTTAGCAAGGCGAAAAATAAATGCATTTTAATAGCAAGTTGTAGTATGGTTGTGCATGAGTATTATTTAGTTATATTAACAACTAATTAATTTAGTGCCCATATGGCGTAGCTTATTAGCTATGATGCGCTTTGAAAATGCATTTGGGGGCATTTGGTTGTTGTGGCATGTTGGTGGTTTGAAAAAATTAGTAACGAAACATGATCACAGGTATCACCTTGTAGCCCGCATTCATTTTGTTATTTTTGTCAAAGCTGCCCTCACGAATCTCACTGGTGCATCCCTTTCTCTCATAGCTTTTGTCATAACCCCCTCTCTCGCGATCTCGTAATGTCTCCCTCTCTCTCGCGGCTCTTGCTTCCCCCTCTCTCTCTCTCTCTCTCTCTCTCTCTCTCTCTCTCTCTCTCTCTCGGTCCTGTAAGATGCCTCCTAACTTTATTCTTTGGCTTTGTCTAGATCATTGTCGCCCTATGTGTGATAGTTTCTATTCGTGCGGTGTTTTTGGGATTTTGAGGTTTTGGTTTGGCTCTATCTATCTTACGACATTCCTATCTTTACTATGTTGTGATTTTTGGTTTTGAAATGTGTGTGTTGGAGGATTGCAGTTAAGGTTGAAATTTTGGATTTTGGTTCTGCTCTGTTTGGAATTACATGTGTCTGGTTGGGGTATGTGTTTGAGGTTCGAAATGCATGTTTTGGAAATGAATTTTGGTTTGGCTCTGCCTATCCCTGTATTCCCAACCAAATATTGTGGGTTTTGAATAATTTTTGGATTTTGGTTGAGGTTGGAAATGTGTATGCTTTGGTTAAGGTTGGAAATGTGTATTGTTGGCTCTGTCTATCTTGTAGTATTTCCTATCTTGGGGTTGGAAATGCGTATGAGGTTGAAATATGTTGGTGGAATTCGAATTTTGGTATTCTTTGCCAAATGAGGTTGGTGGTTTGTGGGCTTTGAATTGAATATAACATATGTTATACACTGTCATTCTTCATTGTCTGGTATTTACATACCTAACAGCTTTTTCATTTTGTGATTTTCCTCTACCTTTACTCTGTTCAGTTGTTATTCATTTTTAATGTAAATAATTTGATTAGGTGGATGTGTTGATTGCACTTACAATTATCTGGAATTATAGATGGTATGTTCTTGGTGGATGTGTTTGTGTGTGTATGAGATGGTTATGGATGTTCTGGAGGGGCAGTGGTGATGTGTTGGTGGAGTGGAGGTGTGTGGTTGTTTTTTAGTTCGTGGATGTGTGGAGGTGGTGATAGTTGTGTTAAGGAAGGGCAGTGGTGATGTGTGGAGGCAGTCTCTTGATGTGTTGGTGTGTGGAGGTGGTCTCTTGATGTGTTGCTGTCTGGAGGTGTTTGTGTTGGTGGATGTGATTGAGTGTGAATGTGAAGTGACAGTGGTGATGTTATTGTGGCACTCCTGTTTTTCTCTGAGTTGCGATAAATTTTATGATATTCTATTTATACAAGTCACATATATTTATGTTTCTTATGCATTTGATATTAATTGTATCAATTTTTTTTTTTGATAAAAAAGTACTTATTTTTTTTTTATTTTTTTTACATGTATTTTTCTTCCCACTTGAATGACCGATGAAACAACTATAAATAATATATGTATCATAAATATTGCATGTATTTTTTGTGAGTTTTAGAAATCTATGATGAGACGTTTGACCTTATGAGTTTTTCTGGATGACTTGTACGTTGTTATTAGTTGGTGTTTACAATTATAACATTTTTAGATATTAGATATCATGTTAATGGGCCCATAATGGTGTTTACATTCAAGGTATCCAACAAAACTGACAATATATGATTATATAATTGTTATTGTTGCTTCTCAAATGTGTGATGTATTTTCCAGTAATATTTCCACTATTTGTATCATAATTATATTTTTTTTCATATGTTTTTTTTTGTATGTTATTTGCAGGTTACAGAGCTTAAACGAGCAAGCGGCGTAGTTATATCATTTTCTGGTGTATGTGCAGCACTATTGGCGTAGCTACGTTAATAGTGCATAGGTACACTGCAACTATTTTACCTCTCCCATGCCCAAAACAGAGAAGTAAGAACCTATGAGCCACACCGAAATATATGTGCCACTCTTAGTGCCGCCAAAGTACAACCTACGGATAATGTAGAAAACCGAGCGAAAGAAACCATGGTGCCACATTGGAAGGAAGTTGACGCCACTTCAACACCATATGACTCTCTTTGTGGCACATAGGCATCACTTGGAGATGTGAAAAATTACAGAAATATATAGAGCACGACTTTGGTGCTCTGTGGTAGAACTCCAGATATGGCCAACTAACTTTAAAAGTTACAACGGTTCGAGTTGACATGATGAGATTGTATGAGGATCTGTAGCTATAAAAGAAAGCAATTTGAAATAAAGTCGGTTTTTCTCCTCTTTACAAATTTTCAATGGAGTGACATCGAGAGGAAGAAGACAGAGACTAGAGGGAGTCACTGAAGAACTATCATAGCTTTTAATCATGCTTCGTCGGAGGGATACTTGGAAGAGTGTGAGAGTTCTCCCAAGAGAGAATAAGTATGCGTGTGTGAAATTATTGTGCTCAAAGCTTAGGTATATCATTATAATTTCTTGCGAATCACTGAAGCACAATGATGAGATCATTCAAATATTTACTTTGGAGTTTGCAATAAAATTTGTTTTGTTTCCAATCATTATGAGCATGACTTAAATTTCTTGAATTAGATTCTATGCAAATTAGTATTATTTTTTTTAGGTGCCGGTTCGAAATTTGAATTTTAGATAGATAGTTTATGCCGGTGGGCGAGTTTGAGTGAGAGGTGAGCAGACGAGCTCTAGGTCGTGCAAACAACTTCGCCTGAGTACGCATTTGCGTGCCCCACTATCTTACAATTTATAATTTAATAAATAATATTTAGTTGTTGGTTTTGAGTTGTCAAATTCACATGTGCGTACTTTCTTGTAACATATTCTACTGGAAAGAATGTGCCCCCCTCTCTCCTTCAAATGAATCAGATTTTAGGAGTAAGTGGTAGTTACTAAATTATCTTGTGAATTTATGAATTTAAGAATGGGGCAGTTACATACATACCACCACCCAATTCTTACATATTTATATACTTAACTCTTAAAGCTTCGATTGTTTACATTTATATCACCCAAATCCGTCTTATCACATCTAAAACACCATCTTAAATTTTAAAAATTGAAATATACATACATTTTTCACGCCGAAGTAAATCGGCATATAAGCAAACATTGAAGTTTAGGTGTTAGATATGTAAATGTATAAGAAGTGGTATGCATGTAAGGGTCCGTTTGGGGCAGCTTATAAGTGCAGGAGGCGTTTTCAAAACTCCGCTATACCGTTTGGTTCGCGCGTTTCGTCAGCTTATCCGAAACTGCGTTTGGGTTTTTACACTAATCGCAGGCCACAGGTTGATCCCCGCGGCCGCGTTTCAGGATAAGCAACTTATCCTGAAACGCATAAACTGCCTCAAACGGACCCTAAATCTACTACTCGTTTTGGGAGAGCGTTGCAGCAAATCCATATATTCAAATGACTATTCAAATATTCAGATTTTCGGAGGGGTAATCATCAATCTTTTTAACTTTAGTGTCATTTTAAGACTACTGCTACCACACATATATGCATGAACCATTCTGTGCCAGCAATAATTCAATCTAGGAGCTATCATTATATAAAATCCCAACGGCTCCTGTGAAGTTGTCGAATCACACAACAATGAGCAATTTGTTCTTCAACAAGATAATTTAGTTGTTCAACAAAAGCAGACATTAGATTAGTTTATTACAATAATCATGCACATAACATATCATGAATATGATTAAATAATAAATCCTCAGATGCTGATGCCATTTAAAACACCTAGATCTAATCTAAAACCATTAATCATAATTAATCCCAAGTCCCACTACAATTGTAATTAAAAATTAACAACCAACCAAATAATCACTTAAACAGTGATTGCATATTACAATAAGCATCCACATAGCACTATAACAGAACATGAATCTAACTAAATAACAAGTCCTCACATACCCATGAGAAGGGACTGATTTAGTATTACATGAATTACACAAAAACTCATAAAATTGGAAAGGGTTTTGAATGTCATGTTGGCGCGTATTATACGGACCACTCCTATGCTTACTCTAACCTAGTAGAATGTGGACATTAGGAATGAGTGCAATCTTGTGCCAATCAGAGCCTGATGGCTCCTCATAGCGCTCCATGAAGTCTTGCTGACAATTCTGTATTCTCAGATTTTCCAAGGAGTGAGGGAGGTCTGGTAATTCTCGTAGCTTAGGAACCTTTACGATGTCAAGACTGTGGAGAGAAGATAGGCTTGCAAGGGAAGAAGGTAGGCAATCCAGCTGAACGAGATCTTCTATATATAACTCAAACAAAGAGGTAGGGAGGTCTGGCAATGATTTGAGGAGCGGAATTCCAACTAAACGTAGCTGCTTGAGAGATGAGACGGTTGACAAAAAATATGGCAGGCACTGCAATGATTCGAGTTCTTGAAGCGATAAGAATTCCAGAGAGGTGGGAATGTTCGGCAACACCTGGAGTAGAGGAACCATATGCACAAGTAGAGTCTTAAGTGAAGAGAGGCTTTCCAAGGAAGAAGGGAGAGACTGCAGGGATTTGAACCTTCCTAAAATCAACAAACAAAGTGACGAGCTAACTTGTAGAAACCACTGTCCCACCTCAAACGGAAATGCAACCACCTCATCATTATTTTCAATTGTCAGCTTTTCCAAGGAGGTGATACTTCTCAATGGCTCCAATAGCAACACAGATGGATCGGTTATACTAAGATTCTCCAATTTAAGAGAGAAATTCTTAGCGCTAACTTGCAGTCCGTTGAGAGAGATCAGTGCGGGGCAATCTTGAATTGTCAAGTTTCTCAGTGCTTCAAGTCTTACCATTTCATCAGCTAGAGGAAAAGATGTCAGGTTTGGACAGCGACAGATGTTTAATGAGGAAAGGTGAGCGATTTTTGAAATGCTGCAAGAGTTGCTAGTGCCTTGTTTCCAGTTCAAAGCTTTCCACCCAATGTTATTGATTGTTAATGTTCTGAGCTTAGGAGGTAAAAAAGGAAACTGTTGCAAATTTGGGCAATCTATGAGGTGAAGCTTCGTTAAGCAAGGAAAGAAACCGTCATCTTCTGCTGCTCCTGATGTATCAAAAAAATCCTCTAATGCATCTAATTTACCAATATCTAGCGCCTGCAGTGATGGAAACATACAATACTTGGCTTTCCCTTGAAATTTGTGATTAAAACGCTTTGCTTTTGGCATGTTCTGAAGACGCAATGCCTTGAGGAATGGAAGCTGCCCAAAAGGCGGAAGAGTTTCCCACTCCAAACACTCATCTAGATATATGAAGTTTAGACTGGAGATCAAATTGGCATTGTCCATCCATGCTGCAGACCTTGCACCCATATATGCACGTATGCAAAGTTTCTTTAGATTGTTATGTGGTTGAAGATTTGCAAGCACCTGTTCATGCAAGATGCAATCTACAATGTGTGATGGGGTTTGACTTTGTAGCTCAGTGTCACCCCAATCTAAAGACAATTCCAATAGGTTTCTCTTTTCACATAATTTGGCATTGCATGCCTCTTTGTCATCCTTCACACTTCCAAGAAATTTGATATTTAATAGCCGGAGTTCGTTCATATGTTCCAGCTCCCCAATTCTATAACCATCTTCATTCTTAACATAAAACACATCCAATTTTTGAAGAGAGTTTAACTTCCCAATCCCATGGATCCAAGAAAAGACAATCTGCGGCATTTTCATGTAACGCAAATTAGAAAGATTATTAATGTCTCTTGGTAAGAGATCATTAGAAGGATTCTTAGAATATTTTTGATAGATAATGAACTGCAAGTGATACAAACTGCTTAAAGATCTTGGCAGTTGAGTAACATCACTTCTTGATATGTTCAAGTATCGAAGATGTATTAAATTTTCAATCGCCTCAGGTATTACTCTCAACGAGGGAGATCTTATGAACACCAAACGAATACTTGTCGATTCTTTAAAAATTTCAGTAAGTAAATCAATAAAATCTTGATCTTCACTGTCACACCAAAAAAAAATCGAACGCAAATTTTTTAATCCTCTAATTTTTCTCATGATTTCTAGATTTGTGGTTTGAACAGATAAGTGCCGGGTAGTTTTAGGAATATGAAAAGGCAACTTTAAATTTTCCACAAAACGGAAGCATTCCTGTGCAGAAACGGATTGTGCCAATTCATGTAATAAGTCATGCATCTTGAAAGCATTCCGGTGCAGAAACGGATTGTGCCAATTCATTTAATAAGTCATGCATCTTGCAGACATTATTATCAAGAGTCGGACAATTTTCAAAGAAAGATTTTTTGACCAAAATATCAATATATCTTCTTCCGACTATTTCCATGGTCTCTCCTGAATTAAAGGACGGCTGAATGAAACCCAGTGCAATCCACATTCGAACTAAATCATTTTTGTCAAACCAATGATCTTGGGGGAATAAGCCACAAAATACGAAACAAATTTGTAGATGTTTCTCCAAATATTTATAACTTAATCTCAAGATGGGCATGATGTTATTATGAACCTCCTCTGGTTCGGTGCTTCCAATAGCACTCTCTAAAACTCTTTCCCAATGTTCCACATTCAAGCAAGAATTTAAACGATGATCATCAATGTCGTTTGCATCCGTGAATGCATGGGTGTGAAGGAGCTGCAAACACTCATCTTCCTCCAAGCCCCCTAATCTAAATGTTTCCTCCTTCATTGTAATCACCTTGGCAATCATCGATGCAACTGAATCCATCCGAGTTGTGACCAAAATTTTACTCCCCAATTTTCCATAAGCCAGAGGGGAGAGCACATTCTCCCATTTGCGTTTATCCATCTCCTCCTCATCCTCCCAAATATCATCTAGAACAAGCAAGAACTTCTTGCATTGCACCCCAGACTTGAGACTCTCTTGAAGAGCCCCAAGTGACTCCAAACGAGGCCTCTCCCTTTTAAGATATTCTAACATATCGGCAATCACTTTTTTTGCATCAAAGTTGTTGGAAACACAAACCCACATTTTAAGATCAAATTCCTCTTTCACATCTTGAAAGACATGTTGTAAGAGAGTGGTCTTCCCCATACCACCATGACCCACTATAGACAAAAGAGAGATGTTTTTGTTAGAACTAGTGCCGGTAAGATCTTCAATTGATGGTTCCCTCAACCACCGCATAACAAACTCTGTTTCCTTGCCTCGACCGATGAAAACAAATCCAGGGTAGGATCCGCTTGCACGATCGTCACAGAACCGCTGCTCCTTCGCCTGCTGCACCTGCTTTGTTTCTATTAAAATAGGAAGGAAAGCACTTACCTCAGCCGCTACTTTATCAAGTTTCTGCACAACCTCCACCAGCCTATTCAAGTTGCGATCAATTTTGAAGACACGTCTGCCTAATTTGCGAAGTTTGCTAACACCTTCCAAAAGGAAACTAGTGGCTACGGAACGCTTCTTTTTTTCCTCCATGTTTTGTTCTGACACCCGTTCTCTGAGCTTCAGGTACTCAAACTCATCAAGCAAATCATCTGCCTCATCGATGGCATCTCGTAGCTGCCATATCCAGCTGTTGAGTGGTGAGTTCTGATCTGTGATGTCTGCTTCGTTGGAAGCAGAAAGGACAGCTTGGATCTTGCAGTGATTCTCTCGCAGCCTTTGCAGCTCCTTCTCCATGCTATTCTGCGATCCAAAATGGTATTGAAGGAGCTCAGCGCAAGTGTTGATGATCTTATCCAAGATTTGGCCAATAAACAACTCCGCCATTGCAGCGCAGAGGAGAGATTGTGGAAGAGAGTAAGATATGAAATCCGACTATGGGAATTTTCAATAAATATATGAAATCAGACTTTGGGAAATTACAATTCATTTGTAATTTAGTTTTTTTTTTAAACTACTCCAATTGTTCTTTTCCGCCATTGAATCTTTCCATTTATGAATCTCAACAAACATACAAATTGTTAGAAAGAATAAATAATTTAAATGGAAGTTGAATATTATTATGTTGCTTTGAACTTTATGGAGTAAATGAGTTGAACGTACCAATTCTTGCCGATCAAATTTGGACATACATTTATGTCACAACAGAGATGTCACAATAGAGAAAGGACATCTTCAATGCTAATTAATCACCTTTGATGATTACTATGAAGAAGATCTAACCATCTTGTAGCATGAATCTATAACTATTATTATTATAGAATATTCTCATTATTAAGAGTATTTTTATTTAATATATTTTTTGGTGACTCTTCTATTGTTTCTATATAAGCACAACCTTCTTTCAATACATTATTTGGTTCAATAAATAAGGGTTGAATAACGAAATAATTCCCCAACAATTCACAAGTGATCATTTAATCACAACATCACATTTCTTCAAATTATTCATTCTCTTATAGAAAATTGATCTAGAATGATCTCTCATAGACTACAGTAAGATCAATTTTATATACTCGAGAGAGATGAGATTGCGAACAATTTTTCTACACAATTAGCAAGAAACATTTTATAATCAATTTTCCATAATCAAGTGACTGTATTAGAAAAATTTAATATTTTTGTACTAAATTGATCTCATGAGAATAGTTGGGGTGATTACTTTGGGTTTCAAATCACTATCACTCCTTATGGGGAATTGCTTTCTTGTTGTTTTTAGAAATTTCTGTGCCAGTTTATCTTTTGAATGACCACTAAGATGAAAAAAGTAGAACCTTGCTAAAGATGAGAAGGTTCTTGAAAACCATCAACCACACAACAATCTAAAGAAACTATTCATATATGCATAAATGGGAACAAGGTCTGCAAAATGGATGGAAAATTCTAATTTGATTTTCAAATTATAGTATATCCTACTGAACGAGTGTTTGCAGTGGAAAATTCAAAGTATTAAAGGATTGGTTTGATGTAGCAAGAGTAGCAGAAGATGACTGCATGTTTCCTTGCTTAACTGAACTCTATCTCAAAGACTGCCCAAAATGACAAGAGCTGCCCTCTTTACATTCTAATCTTAAGAAATTGAAGATAGATAACATTTTATAAATCCAAAAAGATGGTATGAATTGGAGACCAAACAGAACTGTCCCCTCATATACAGTGAAGTTTACATAAATGATCCATCTGTGTTGCTAATGGAACCATTGAGAAGTATCTCCTACTCGGGAATGCTGTCAAATAAGGAGAATGATGTGCTGGTTTCATTTCCAGTTGAGGAAGAGCAAGGGTTTTCTACAAGTTAGCCCATCCCATCTTGAGTTGAACTTTTTAAGGCTCAAATCCCAGTAGTCTTTCCCTCACCCTTCCCAAACCACTTTTCAGAAACAAATCTATGTGTGTATGAGATTCCTTAGCTCTATGGAACGGTTGGATCTTAAAAAACAAAAATCCTTACAGTGCCTGCCATGATTTTTATTTTTTGCTCATCTCCACTTAGACTATTTATCAAAGAGGTTCCTCAGTTCCAGCTGCTGCTGAACATCCTCAGCTATCTGAAATGATTAGCTCTTAAAAAACTCAAATAATTGCAATGCTTGCCATCGTTTTTGCACATTTTTACTTGAGAAATTATTTATTATAAATGTGAAATTGAGCACAACATAACCGAAGTAACATAACAACAAAAAAGATAAAGCCTCTTTATTTTCTACAAGGGGTATTGGTCATTGGTAGCTCATCCTACCAGAAGAATGAAATTATAACTAGTTTTCGAACCGATAGGAGACTGAGCCATCAAAATGGCCTATTTGATTAGGAAACACAAGAGCCATGCCAGCAGAGGGGATAAATCAATCAAATGCAATTCAGATAAATTTTAAAATGCTAACATATAATCAAAAAACTTCCATCAACAATAATTTGCTTGCATGATAAGCAAACTTATCAATAAACAAACAGATAAAAATTTTCATTTTGTTAGTAGCAATTGCTTCAATTAACCTGCGTATAAAAAGCCTTATTCTAAATTGGCATTCTCCCATATAGCTAACATTCCAGTCCTCGTAAAGCCATGGTGATACGTATAATAAAATTCAAAAGAAGGATCAAGAAAGTAAAAGGTAATAAAAAACCCCAAGGCTCAGACTAAAATGTGCAGTAACAAATAATCTGCCATCAGAAGAAGGTGCTGAAGACCCATTGAGCAGGGCATCTGGGTTGCCATGAATAACACTAAACCAAGTCACCATATAGAAAAGCATACTGTATGACCAAAAAGTGCATTAGAAGATGAAAAGGCGTCCAATATGTAAAAAGATTTTAGAAACATGAAGAGGTGCCAACGAAAATAGCTCCAAGGAATAATCTTGCACTTGTATATTTGTCCTCCTATAATCAATAAATGGGAGGACCTTTTATGTATACGGAGACTCATGCCATTTTGGCTTTCCCCTTCTCCAGTAAATAATCCTTTAATATATGAAATGAGTTTGAGAGCCCGGGAAACACCCCCACTTTGCTCCGCTAGCAGCAGTCGCGGCGTCATCTCTCTCTCTCTCTCTCTCTCTCTCTCTCTTAACGCGCTCTATGCCTTAGGCATGTACCACCGGATAATTAACGCGCTCTATGCCTTAGGCATGTACCACCGGATAATTCTGTATTAAACACATAGCAAAAGATAGGTCATCCAGGAGATCCCCTAGGCATGTATAACCCATCATAGCCTTCTCAAAAAATTCAATCCATAAATAGGGAACCAGCCAATGAATTTAAAAAATTGCTCGAGCGGCCAAAAAACCATTTTGGAAAAGAATCCAACATATGAAGTGTGATGAAATTAATGCAATGAAAAGTAAAAGAAGCAAAAAGAATGACACATTTTTGTGAGGAAAATTGAAAACACATGCAGAGGATAAAAAAACCACTAAAAAATGGCTTCACACTAATCATCCATAATAGGCCTAAAGGCAAGGTAAACGAGCCAAAACATATGGGCACCAATCCCTCTCGATATCCCCAAAGAACCAAATAATAATATTAATAAAATAAAGAAATAAAGAAGCACATATTTGGTCTTTCACCAAAATGGTCGCACCAAAAGCTTTATGGTCGGGTCAAACATAATCAAGATCACCGTATTTTAAAATGAAGCACATATGAGGAGGAAATACCAAATCCAGCCATCAATGACAAACAAGATTCTTTAAGAAAAAAACACAAAAAACCCGAAAGGAGACAAAAACATCCAACATAAATGAACAATGGAAACTATAAGTCAATAGAAGTTGTGTTGCCGTCCTCATAAAGAAGAGGGATAAAAAAAGATGATCTCACCAAATTTTGATATTTGCAGATATGTGAGAACGCATTGTGTTCAGAATGGAAGAAATAATAATAAAAAAAAACTATGAGAGCCATATTTGATGTCATTCCATTCCCTCCATACAGAATATACAAAACACGATTTATAGAGCAGAAAAAAATTCCTTCCATTACTTTCCAACGAGGCTCGAGATATCCGACATTTGAGAGGTATGGGTCTCATATTGAAAAAACCAGCAGCCATGGTTCAAACATCGGAATAAGTGCAATTTGATTGGGGAGGAACCTCACAAAACAAAGCACCTTTAGACTCTGATTGGCACAAGATTGCACTCATTCCTAATGTCCATATTCTATCGGGGTAAAGCACAGAATGGTTCGCACAGTGCTCATCAACATGGCATTCAAAAGTTTTTCCAATAATATTAGAGCTGGCTTATTCAAAAGTTGTTGCTAATTCATGCCATTTTGCAAAAAAGAAAAAAAAAAACCTGAATTATCAGACAGCCATAGAGCATATAAAAATGTAGATTTTGACGAACACAACAAAAGATTCAAACCAAACATTAAGAAAATGAAATTAATAAAGTTTAAACATTAGAAATGAAATAAATAACAATTGTGTGGTATGCATAAACATTAAGAGATGAATAATTTGCCATCAGAAGAAGACGGCATACCCATATAGCAAGGGATCTCGGTTGCCAAGAACACTTTAGAGTGAACTTGCATATGTAGGAAAACATAATGGAATAGAGGTCATTCTTAAAAGGGCATATTGCATTAAACAAAAAAAAAAAAAAAAAGTACAACAAAACACAAAAAATAAGTCCTTAAACTTGAGCAAAAGGGGCCCTTAAACTTGAGCAAAAGGGGCCCTTCAATCACGGAGTATGACAAAAAGCTCTGACGACTCAAGGACCATATCAAAAGAGAAGCTATGTAAGGCAGTGTTAGGCATGGCTCATATACCAGAATTTGGAGTCTCTTGGAATTGAAGAGGTGTGTCTCCTGGAATGAAGAAATGTGTCCCTTGGAATTGAAGAGTTGTCTCTTGGAATTTAGTGGGTTGGGGGGAGCGAGGGCGTTTTAGTAATTTTATCTGTGGGTTTTATCTATATATATGATGTGTAACCCTATGGGTATGTACTGGACTCCTCTGAAATAGTGAATTCGTTGCTCTACTCCCGAGGACGTAGGTCTCTTTGTCGAACCTCGTTAAATCTCTGTGTTCTTTTGGATTTATGTCGATTCTTGTTTTTCTTCGCCTAATTTCTCAACAAGCAGCCCTTTGGGCACAAAAGTGGGCAGCTCGATTGAGCTCCCGACAAATAAACTAAAAAATAACCTGTCTAAATGAATTTAAAGAAGCTAATTTGTCCCCGAGTTCTGGATGAAGCTTCCAAGGTTTCTTATCCATGTTTTGACAAAAGAAATTGATAACATTGATGTTATCACCTGGAATAGAGACCATCCAAGAGAACCCTTGGGTCATATTACTTATCATGACCTTCCCAAAAAATCAATCCAACAATAAGGAGGCACAAGAAGCAGAAAACTATTTAAGACACTTGGTGGAAGAAAAGGACAAAGAAGATGAAAGGCTTTGCGATCTGATTGTTACCAGAAAGGTAATGCTGTCCCACAATAGCATGGAATAAGGAGCGGTGGAAATTTTTACACACATGAATTTTTAAGGGAAATGAATCCAGCACATCATTCTCCTTGATTTCCAGAAGTTGGATTTGAAAAGATTTCAGAAACATTGCAGATCTTAACTTAGATCAGAAGGTGCTGGAAAATATTAAACCATACAACCTAATAAAACTGAGGGTAATGCCATCAATAAAAGGAGGGGAACTGCAACAGTTGCTAGTGCCTTGTTACCCATTCAAAGCTTTCCTGGTGCAAGAATAATAATAAAGATAAAAATCAGAGACACATATATTAAGGGCCAATAGGCCCAATGCCATTATTACCACCACAGATTCCACAAAAAAATTTCCCATAAATTAGTTTGCACCATACATGTGGCACTGCAAACTTTTTTATCCGATCCTAATAGAATTTAGGTCACAAATAACACCCCCAATGTTATATATCTCCCATTTATTGAGCTTAGGAGACAGACAGCAACTCTTTCAAATTTGGGCTGTGTTTTAGGAGAAGACAGTCATTTGCTGCGGCTGCTGCAACAAAAACAAAACAATTTCTTAACAATAGAACAAATCCTTTAGGGGCTGTATGGCAATGGATGAGATTTAAGTTAGTAAGATTTAGTAAATCCTACAACTCCGGATTTAGTAAACCTTGAAATGATTAAATCCAAAAAACTGTTTGCCAATGAATTCAGTAAATACTGTTAAATCCTATGAAATTATTTGGCAGTTTCTGTCAAGATTTAAAAATATGTTATGATTGTTAGATTTTAACAATAATTATAGTAAAATTTCATAAATCTTGTAAATTCAACTTCTTAAACATTCAAAAGAGCCAAAATTTGCTAGTTTCTTAAATTCAATTAATATTTTATTTCATATTATAATAAATAATAATTATATATTTACAAAACTAATCAATTATAAATAAAAAACTTAATAAATTTATTATTAAATAGAAGTTTAACATTTATGAAAGAATAACTAATTAATTATTAATTATATAAATTAATAATTACCTATAAACATATTAAATGAATAAAAAAATAAATTAAATTTTGTATTAATTAACAATTAAATAATAAATAAAAATTTATTGAATTATAATTAATATGATAATATTTTAATTAATTATTGCTTATTAATCAATTACATTAATCAAATTAACTTTAAAAAAATTAAATTAACAAAATCCATGGCTACATTTGTCCTCCCTTCCCAAAACCTTCTCATGTCTCTCCCGCCTTTGTTTCGCCCAAAGCCACCGCCTTAGTGACCGAACCCTCACGATACAGTCGCAATTGGGAGCTAACTGAGAACGCAACTACAGGATCATGGCTTATAGAGACCCGAAACTCCCATTTTTCTCCACCCTCACCTCTCCTACCCGAAGCCATTGAGGAAGGTAACTTCACGTCTTCTTTTTCGTCTTGAGCGTCCGTCCCTGATTTACTAAATCCACCGATTCACAGGATTTAGTAAATCCAGGTTTATCAAATACGAGGCTTTATTTTGTCCAAAATGACCATCTCGCAAGATTTAGGTCAAATCCTGCTCTAAATTCGTTACTAGGCAGGCCCTTAGTGATGGAAGGTGCCCAAAAAGGTGGAAGAGTTTGACATTCCAAGCATTCATCCACTTGGAAGAACTCAACTTGAATGAGAAACTCTGCAGAAGTTGGATTTGGAAATAATTCAAAAACACTGCAGATCTCAACTTAGATGAGAAGTTGCTTGAAAATCTTAAACCCGACCCAAAAAAGCAGAGGATAATGTTATCAGTCAGAGGACAAGCGTTGTTTGAACATTAACAACGACCTCTAAACTTCTGTGGGAAATATGTTTTGAAATGCCGCAATAATTGCAGTCCTTCATGCCTATACAAAGCTTTCCCCGCAAAAGAAGAGAATCCATAAAATCAAATAATAAGAGCGATAGGCCCAACACATTTGCTACCACCATAGATCCACCCAAAAAAATTTCCATAATATAGGATGCACCATATATGTCGCACTGCAAACTATTTTATGCAGGCCCAACAAAATTCAGGTCACAAATAACACCCCCCATTGTTATCCATCTTCAATTTATTGAGCTTAGGAAGCAAATAGGGCAACTCTAGCAAATTTAGGCAGTCTATTAGGAACAGTTCAATTAAGCAAGGTAATAGAAAGTTATTTGCTGCTGCTGCAGCAACAAGAAAACAATTGCTTATATGTAGCACCTTTAGTGAGGGAAGCACCCAAAGAGGTGAAAGAGTTTGCCACTCCAAGCATTCATCCACTTGGAAGTACTCTAGATTGTTGATCAAATGGATCATGCTGATCCATATGGCGGACCTAACACCCATGTATGAATTTATCCTTAGCTTCTTCACAGCCTTCTTATCAATATACTTTCCGCATCATCTCGATCACCCACCGCACAGACACTATAATAAACCATTAACCATCCATCCAATTGACTCTCTTCATCTTTTCCTTTGTTCCACCATCTCTCCTCCTACCTTGATCGGTGCCATGGTAGACCGGTTTATTAGTCCAATCATGGACAAGCTCATCAGCCCTTGCTCCGATTACCGGCAAGATCAATTTAGATGGCAGACAGACATGAACTGGTTTTTACTCATAAATGGCCCAACAGGCCATTATAAGCAAAATAGAAAAATAACATCAACTGATTTTTTTTCTTGTTTTCTTTTATGGTTTATGGGTGCAACCATACCAGCACCAGTGCCCCGGATCCATCAGAAATCCACAGTTAAGCGTGCTTGGACGAGAGTAGAACTAGGATGGGTGACCTCCTTGAAGTCCTCATGTTGCACCCCTCCATTTATTTCTCATAATCAATTTGGATTTATGTCAGGCAGGTCTACTATGAAAGCCATACATTTATTGAGAGGTTTGATGAAGAAGTTCAGAGATAATAAGAAAATCTACATTTGATTTTTATTGATTTAGAAAAAAGCTTACGATAAGGTTCCAAGAGATATCCTTTGGAGAGTTTTCGAGAAGAAAGAAGTTGATATGACTTATATTCAAGTCATTAAAGATATGTATACTACAGTTGTTACTTGTGTTCAAATTGAAGGAGGATTGACCAAATATTTCCTATTTCTGTTGTTTTACATCAGGGATCGGCTTTAAGCCCATATCTTTTTGCTTTAGTTATGGATGGTCTTACTGGACATCTACAAGAGGATGCACCTTGGTGTATGCTTTTTGCTGATGATATCCATCACGTGAATAAAACAAGAGAAAAAACTCAGGAAAAACTTGAATTATGAAGGTCTACATTGGAGTCTAAAGGCCTTCGTTTAAGTAGAGCTAAAACTGAATACATGGAATGTAATTTTAGTAGTAATAGCTCTAGTGACAGAAGTGTGACTTTGGGTGATCAAATTATTAAAAGGTGTGAACGATTTAGATATCTTGGGTCCGTTGTCCAAAGCGATGGTGATATAGATGGGGATGTTAATAGTAGAATTCAAGTTGGTTGGTTGAAGTGGAGGAATGCTTCGGGCCTTTTGTGCGATAGAAAAGTATCGCTTAAACTAAAAGTAAAATTTTATAAGACGGTGGTGCGACCTGCAATGCTCTATGGAACAAAATGTTGGGCTTTAAAAGAGAAGCATAAAACAAAGTTAAGTATTGTTGAGATGAGAATGCTTAGGTGGATGAGTGGCTTGACACTTAGCGACAAAATGCATAATGAATATATCTGTGATAGGGTTTGTGTAGCTCCAGTGACGGGCAATATTTGAAAGAGTTGTCTTAGATGGGTTGGTCACCTTAAACGTCGACCATCTGATTAGAAGCGTAGATATTTTAGATTCGATCAGTGTTAAGAAAGGCAGAGGTAGACCAAGGAAGACTTGGGCATATTGTATAAAAATTGATCTTAATTTATTAGAATTAAAGTAGAATTAAATAAAAATATGGCACTAAATAGGACGCAATGGAGAAAAAGGATTCATGTAGCCGACCCCACGTAGTGGGATTAAGGCTTTTTTGTTGTTGTTGTTTCTTTAATGGTTTCAAAACAGCAAGGCATTCCTCTTTCCGTAATAAAGTAAAGCAATTTTATTCATCTTAACTTCAAATGAGAGTCAAAGAAGCTATTTGATGAAAATACTCTAATTTATCTCAAAATTTTCTCGAACATAGCATGCCTAGATCGCTCAAATAAAAAATAATGTTAATAATTTTTTTTATTTTTCTTGCTGTACAGCTTGGCCGTTAATATGGTCTATAGATTTAATAGTCCAGTTATCACTGTTGAAATTGCATATTTCTCATTTCAGAGTTACCAAAAACAATCTCAATCTATATTTGACATCAAAACAAAATTCACATTATCATATAATTAGCTAAAAACAAAGGCACAATCATCAAAACAAAACTTCTCTTTATTAGAAGTTGGGGGTTTCGTCTATCTTAGGAATTCGCTTTTAAAAAATCTCGCTTTTCGAGAAATTTTTCTCTGTTTCCAGCAAAGCACAAATCTGAGGTCAAAACCCGGCAATCAACCGCTAGATAGCAGCTTAGAGATGCCATTGATCGGGCAGATGATTTGCTCGATGAGTTTGAGCACGTGAAGCTTAAAGAGCTGCTGACCATACCAAACATGGAGGAAACAAAAAAAATGTTCCACCCCACCAGATTTTCAGTTGAAACTGCTCGAAAATCTCGCAAAGTTGCCAAAAGCGCTCTCAACATTGTCCCAACTTGAAGAGCCAGAGGAGGTGGTGCAAATTCCTTCTTCTTTAGAAAACACAAAGCAGGAGCAGCTAGAGCAAGAGCTTCCGTTGTACAGAACTCATGAAACAGAATCCGAGCTGGAAAATGATCTCATCAGTCGAAGCTAGGATGTATATTTTGTTATCTACTGGTTCAGGAAGCCATCAAATGAAGATCTAACTCATATGAATGGCACAACTTTATACAAGAACATTTTATCAGTGGCGGGTCATGGGTTATAGGCCCAATACCTCTGCTACCGCCACATATCCAAGCCTTAAAAAATTCAGATCACATAAAAAACCACCCAATGTTATCCATCTTCAATTTATTGAGCTTATGAAGCAAAAAGAGCAGCTCTTGCAAATTTAGATGGTTTTTAAATACAAATAGACAGTCATTTGTTGCTAATACTGCATCAAAATAATTCTTCAATGTTTCCAATATCTTAACAAGTAGCACCTTTAGTGATGATAGAAGCCGCCTAAAAAGGTGAAAGAGTTTCCCACTCCAACCATTTAACCACATGCATGTACTCTAGATTAAGAGATCAAATGGACATATCGCATGCATTTTATCCTCAGTATCTTCACAACCTCGTCCAGCCTCGAGTTTGGATCAATGTCAATAATACGTATCATGATGAGAAAACTATTGTGAGATATACACCATTGGTTGTGGTATATATATAGAATCAAACAGGAGAACGATCTTTGACGAAACGAAAAAATATAACGAGAAAATTCACACCAGAAAACAGTAACACAGCAGAACACCCAAATTTACGTGGTTTGGCAAATTGTCTACGTCCACGGAGTTGCAAAAGATTTTACTACTTGAGAAATTTACACCAGTCGATCGTCTTGACTTACAAGAGGAATCTCTCACTTCTCTATACTCTCTTCTTCTCTCTCTACACCGAGATACACCGAAGAAGATAAATTTACAAAAAAAATAAACTCAATTTCTCTTCTGCCACAAGCCACCAAGAAGAAGCCAAGAGAGAGCAATCTTCTTCTTCTTTCTTCTTCCTTCACTACAAGGAACTACTGCTTGCACTTTCCTTCCTCTATCCCGTGGAAACCGAATGTTTGCACTTTCCTTCCTCTATCCCGTGGAAACCGAAATAAGAACACCAAAAGCCGTGACTTCAAAACTAAAGATGAAGGAGAGCCACTACGATGACTTTTATCGCGAAGAGGAGGGAGCGGTTGGCGCCTACGGTTTGCAACTGAAGAGGCGGAAGGCGAACCGAAGCTTCGATTAGCGAAACAGGAACAGTTCGCGAAACTGTAAGGTCCTCGCGACCTTTCGCGATCGGGTACAAGGAGCAGGAAGCAGGAGCTAGAGATCGGGAGGCAGATCAGGCTCCAGCTTAACAAATCTCCCACTTGAAGACCGATACACATGCTACAACAACAACGTCGTCTTACTCGAACTGATATCCTCAACTGACAGCATCGTCTTTTTTTTCAAACATGAATCATCCACCCCTGCAACTCAAAGCTCTGTCTTCACTCCAGAAGACCAACTGAAGCTGTGCACAACTTCAGTTTCTCAAGAGTAACTCTTAGTCAACATATCAGCAGAGTCTGCATAGTCTTGCACCTCCAAGCTATTTCTCAAATTACTCTTATTTCTGCTTACAACTTACACTGCAAGGGCAATATCTTGTCTCTGCTAAAAGTCTTTTTCAACAAGTCTAGCCTTGTACCTCTTACTTCCATCATGCTATGTAATGTCTTCTTCCCTGGTGAAAGTTTTGTTAGCTCTCACTTGCTCGAACTTTCATCTTACAAGATTTATTCTTAGTTTTGTGGTTCTCCACCATCTGCCTGTGGAACAATATGAATGAGTGCCCCAGACCCACTCTCTTCTTCACTTCCATCATCAACAGAACTATGAACTGTCAGCAATAGTGCATCATGTACTTCTTCAGATACCACATTTGCGCTATCACTCTATATTTTTGAGATTCCTGCAGTTCCTCTTTACGTGACCAGCATTTCCTAACCAGACTTTGATTTTGATCTCCCTCTATTTGAGTTCATGTCCTGTCATTTCCCTTTGAAATTAACATTCAGTGTCAAACTCGTGCCTGAGATCTCGTCAGAATCTTTCTTGCACACATCCTCAGTCAAAATCAAATCACGAATATCATCACATTTTAGTTTAGATTTACATGCAAAACTGCTAACTGTCATCATCATAGTTTCTCAACTATTGAGCAACGATGGCAACAATATCAACACACGTATCTCATCATCAAAATCAATTTCAACAGACGACAATTAATTTGTGATAGTATTGAAATCATTCAGGTGTTGAGCAACAAAAACATCTTTTGTCATCTTCAAGTTGAATAACATCTTCATCAAGTACACCTTGTTATTCGCCGATGGTTTTTCATGCATACCTGATAAGACTACCATGAGATCTGCAGTTTTTTCCTCGACGACGTTGTGTGCAACAGACCTCGAAAGGGTCAATCGAATAACCCCCAGGACTTGTCGATCCAAGAAAACAAGAAATTCCATTCAGCTTCATCCATCATTTCAGGTCTTTTCCCCAATAACGGAAGATGAATATTCTTCCTATAAAGGTAATCCTCCATCTGCATCCTCTAATAATCAAAATATGTGTCATCAAATTTTTCAATCCCTGAAACCTTCACTTCATCTACAGTCATCATTCTTCCTCAGATCTGATTAAAGCCCTGATACCAGTTGTGAGATATACATCAGTTGTTGTGGTATATATATAGAAAACAAACAGGAGAACGATCTTTGACGAAGCGAAAAAATGAAACGAGAAAATTCACACCAGAGAATAGTAACACAGCAGAACACACAAATTTACATGATTCGGCAAATTGCCTACGTCCACGGCCTACATCCACGGAATTACAGAGGATTTTACTAATTGAGAAATTTACACCAGCCGATCGTCTCGACTTACAAGAAGAATCTCCACTTCTCTACTCTTTCTTCTTCTCTCTCTTCTTATCTCTCTACACGAAGATACACCGACGAAGAAAAATTTACAAGAGAAATAAACTTAATTTCTCTTTTACTACAAGCCACCAAGAAGAAGCCAAGGGAGAGCAATCTTCTTTTTCTTCTTTCTTCTTTTTTCTTCCTTCACCGCAAGGAACTACTTACCTCTCTATTCCATCTTGTGTCCTCTATCCCGAGGAAAGCGTCCTCTATCCCAAGGTAATTGAATAAGAACACAAAAGGTTGTGTCGTAAACTAAATGAGAGTCGTTACGATGCCTTTTATCGCGAAGAGGAGAGAGCGGTTGGCGCCTACAGTTCGCGACTGATGAGCCAGGAGGCGAACCGAAGCTTCGCTTTGCGAAACAGGAACAATTCACGAAACTGTAAGGTTGCGGTTGAAACCTTTCGCGATCGGGATAGGGAGCGGGAAGCTGGAGTGGGAGATCAGGAGGCGGATCGAGCTCCAGCTTAACAAAAACAGAAGCGAAAGGCAAGACAAAATGGGCTCATAAATATTCAGACTGTCGCGGATGTAGTATAAAATCTGGCAACAGGGCAAAGGAAGCAAAAATAATCTTACCCGGTTGCACGTTAACGGTAAGAGCCGAAAAGAAAAGGGCAAATTTTCTTATCACTTACCCGGTGTGCATCCAGATGTAGAGCGACAAGTTTTCAAATTAAACATCATTTTTTATGAATTTATGGCTCGTATTATAATTAGAGGTAATTCAATCTTTTGGCTTAATTTACTTGTGTGCTCTAATCCTCCTCTATAAAAAAAAAAGGACTTAGGGTTCATGAGAGAAGTATGTCGAGAGTATAGAAGTTGTAAACCCAAGCCATTTTCTTTCTCCCCATCCTGTGCTAGTGCAATCTTCCTCCCCATAAACTTAGGCGAATCACTTAATGCCGAAACACCTAAATCTTTTGTGTTTGTTTATTGTTGTGTGAATTTCTTCATATTTGCATTGTTTTTGCATGATACATTTGTCCAGGTGAAGCAAAGAAAAACTGGAAGAAAATCCATATCTATGAAAAAAAAGACACCAATGCAGTGCAGCAGAAACAACACCCAAAAAATCTGAATGAAGATCAGCAAAGAAAAAAAAGAGATGCACCATGGGTAATGGTGGTTAATCACTGGTATTAAAAGTGAAAATTTTCAGCGTTGCCCTTTGCCAAAATTACAAGTATACACTCAATATATAACATTTAATAACTTGTTTAATTGGAAGCATTCTCCCTTTAATGAGAGGAAAAATTATCAATAGGGGCTCACACTTACGAGTACCTTGAACCAGATTGACAATCCTCTCAAAATGTGGATAACATCTCTAGGTAAAATTTTACCTTCAATATAATCAGCATTCAGAAAATTTGATCTGAAACCACACAATAAAAAAGAGTACAAGTAAAGCACAGCTCAAAAAAAAATCCCCCAAAAAGAATCAATTCAATTGTGAGTCGCCAAGACCCAAAAGTTCATTAGTCTAAAAAGTTTGGGTACGGCTCAATATAGTAAACCATCATATTATGCTTTCCAACAGCAACATAATCATATGATATTGTGATATACCAAACCACCCCAGTTGTTACGTTGCACAATTGAAATTAAAGACTTAGAATTCACATCATTACCAAAATTGTAAGTGAGACAGAAAGCATTGTAGAGAAACTCATCTACCTTGACATTTGCCCCGCAATTGGGATAATCAGTTAATTCATGCATGATCTCTATGAGTGTTGTCTCCAAGTTGTCCACCGAACTCTCCACTATTTAAAAGGCACACCACGCTCAAGTTTATTTTTTGCCCACCATACCTCTCGTTCTATTACAGTTTACACATATGCGGATTGGGTCAGATTCATCCATGATCAGCAATCTTCCTCAGGAAAATGCTCATTTGTGTGAAGAAACATGTTCACGTGAAAAAGCAAGAAGCAGTATGTAATTGTTTGGAGCAGTGCGGAAGCTGAATTACAGTTCACACACACACGCCAACCTTTAAAATGGTTTAACACTGATCAGCCATAATGTGGCCTGAAGACAAACTAAATGAGTCAAAACATAACAACCCAATCCCGCTGATATCACCACGGACCACCCAAAAAAAATATCACCATAAAAACTATAAGTCAATAGAAGTTGTGTTGCCAGCATCGTACAAAGAGTGATATGAGACTAGAGATATCTCCATATTTGATTTTTGTAGCCATGTGAGAGCACATTTTGTTTAGAATGGAAGAAATAAAAAAGGACGGAGAGCTATATTTGCTGTCATTACTTTCCCCCTCTAAATATGATGCACAAAACAGGATATATATATATAAAAATTTCCTTTAATTTCCTTTCATTCCAACAATTGAGTATAGTTGGTCTCACATTGAAAAAAAGCAGCAGTCTTGGTCCAACATGGATTTCAAATTATCAAGAGCATTTATTTGTGGTTCATATTTTCTCGGTCACTTAAAATGATATGCACACAAGGGTGCATGTTCTGCAATATGGATGTACAGTGCCAATTTTATCTCCAATCTAACGTAAATTAATAAACCGGATGAGCGTCTAGAGTAGAAAACTATCCCACCTTTTGGGCAGCTTCCTTACCTTAGGTCTTTGTACCTTCAAAACATACCAAACGTGAAATGGTTTGATGATAAATTTCATGGGAATGAAAACGTTTGTGTGTCTCCATCACTGGAGGTGCTACACATTGCAAAATTAGCAGTAAAGGAGGATTAGTTAGATGCAGCAAACGCGGCAAAAGATGCTGTTTGTTTCTTTGCTTAACTGAGCTCTACCTCAAAGACTGACCAAATTTGCAAGAGTCGCCCTCTTTATAGAACTAAGCTCAAGAAATTGAAGATAAATAACATTGGGTGGAAATATTTTAACTAGCTACAAGACACTAACAACTGTTGCATCATTTCAATTCAAAATTGTGGCAATTTCATATATATCTTAGAAGACAACATGAATTGGAGTCCGCAATGAACTGCAGGCTCATATCCAGTGAAGTCCTTACAAATGATCCATCTGTGTTGCTAATGGAGCCAAATATCACCTCCTTGGACATGCTGGAAACTAAGGATAATGATGATCTGATTTCAAATCCAATTAAGGCAGAGCAGCCGGTTCTGCAAGATAGCTCATCCCTTTGGATGAGAAAGTGCTTGAAAATCTTAAACCACACAGCAATCTAAACAAGCTGAAAATAATGTAATCAGACAGAAGAAGAGTGATGCCTGGACAGAAAATGATCTCTAATGTTCAAGGGGATTAGATTTCGAAGTGTTGCAAAAGTTGTTAGTGCCTCGTCACCAGTTCAAAACTTTCCACCCAATATTATCTATCTCCAATTCCTTGAGGTTAAGAGGCAAAACGGACAACTCCTGTAATTTTTCTCTATCATATTTGTTTTTTTTTTTAAACAGGACTGAGTTCAGACTCTCATTTTTCCAAAAATGAATAAAAAAACTGAATTATCAGGCAGGCTGAAAGAACAAGTCAAAAAAAGTGATTTGACAAGCATAGCAAAAGATTCAGACCAAATATCAAGAAAATGAGAATAATAAAGTCTAAACATTAGATTGGTAAATATATAACAATTGTGCGGTATGCATGTAAATCCCAGTTAAAAAAAATAAGGCTCGGAGTAATAACAAAGAGACAAATAATCTACCATCAGAAAAAAAGCAGTAGACCCATTTATGGCAGGGGATATCGGTTGCCCATAACACTATAACCAGAACTCGCATATGTAGAAAAGCATAATGGAATAGAGGTCATCCAGGAGAATCCATAGAGTCATATGACTCATCATAGCCTTAACAAAAAATCAATCCAAGAATAAGGAGACGGCCTCCAAACTAAAAAACAGGCACAAGGAGCAAATACTTATTAAGATACTTGATGGAAGAAAAGGACAAAAAATATGAGAAGCTCTGCAATGATTCAAGTTCTTCGGGCTCCAACAATCAGGCGACACCCACCAAACTAAAAAACAGGAACAAGGAGCAATACTTATTAAGATATTTGACGGAAGAAAATGGCATAGGCAGCTAAATTAGGAGTTTTCTATAATTAGAAGCTTCCTTATTTCCAATATCTTTATTCTAATTTATTTCTCTTTTAGCTGAATATTTAGATTAGGAATATGTATCATTAAGTTACCTAAAATAGATTATGCACTTTATTTTGTACCTAAAATAGATTGTAAGATTATTATTTAATGGAATGAAAACAAAGAGGAAAAGCATTGAGTATATTCAGTATTCAACCAATTTTTCTCAAAACTTTGACATGGTATCAGAGCCAAAACTTTGCCCTAATCATTGGTAGTTACTGGTGGATCTTCAAAACTCCCTTCCAGCCGTCCTTCTTGCAGGAAGGGAGGAACTATTGATTTACCTTGATTCACCCGCCTCGCTCGTTCACCCGCCTCGCTCGAAACCATGGCCTTCTCCGCCTGGTACGTTCCATTCGACCCCTCTTCCGACCCTAATCAGCGCTACTTTCTCGACGATGTGGTCTACAACAACAGCTCTGGTCGCCTCCTTGATGTCGGCCATGATTTATCGGCCCTCGCTAAGTTCCCCGATTCTTACTGGCCTGATCTCTTCGACTCCCACGTCGGTCGCACCACTTGGCCCTACGGCTCTGGCGTCTAGTCAAAGAAAGAGTTTGTGCTCCCCGAGATAGATGTCGATCACATCATTTCTCTCTTCGAAGGAAACTCCAATCTCTTCTGGGCCGAGCGACTCGGTTGTGAACATCTTGGCGGGATACCCGATCTCTGGGTCAAGCATTGAGGCATATCGCACACCAGATGTTTTAAGGATCTAGGTACGACTGTTCTTGTATCCCATGTTAATCGGCTTCGGAGCAAAACCCTTTCCCGCCTCATTGGGGGCGTTGGTTGCACTTCCACAGGTTATAGGTCTGCTGCTCTTTCAGCCAATTGCACTGCAACAAACATTTCTGCTATTGCCTTCCTGCCTACAGATCGTATTTCATTGGCACAGCTCGTTCAACCCATCATGGATAAATCAAAGATCTGGAAGCTGACCGACTTTCTCGGGCTTTGACACTCTTAGTTTTCGGTCTCTCGAGCTTCGACACTCTCGGACTTCGGCCCTCCCAAGCTTCGGCCTCTCGGACTTCGGCACTCCAGGGTCTTGCCATTTTCAGGCTTCGACACTCTGAGGCTTCGGCATTTTTGGGCTTCGGCACTCTCGGGCTTCGACACTTTTGGGTTTCCGCACTCTCAGGCTACGGCATTTTTGGGCTTCCGCACTCTCGGGCTACGGCATTTTTGGGCTTCGACACTCGGCTTCGGCACTCTTGGGCTTAGGCATTTTTGGGCTTCCGCACCTTGGGCTTCGGCACTTTCAAGCTTCATAATTCTTAGGTTTCGGCAAAACTTTGGCTTCGACACTCTTGGGCTTCGGCACTCACGACTTGAGGATTTTTTGTCCTGACAGTTTTATCAGTTTCTTGTTGGCAAATTGATGATTCCTGATCAGTCAGCATCAATTTAAGGAGGGATGTCAATCAAGAAGGACGGAAATTAGGCAGCTAAATTAGGATGCTCACGAACAAGCACGCTTACCTTTGAAATTTCCAACCATTACACCAAAAGGCACATGAATGTTAGAGAGTTAAACTTCATTCTACTAAAGAAGTTCCACATATAATTCCTATTCAACATTTCCTCACAGCACTAAAATTAAGAAATGAAAAGATACAATACAAATAACAAGCTAAATATTGCCCCTCATAATTAAACTTTTGTATGAATTTCTACTACTCAATATTGCCTCCATCATGATGGAAACTTACACAAAAATCATCACAACATAGCCAAAGAAATGATAGAATAAAGAAGCTTAAGCCTTTTTCTTTCAAGCAAGGGGAAGCCGTCAATGGTCCCTCATCCCTACCACTCATTTGAATAGGAAGCATAGAGCTTCCAGCTTGTTGGCAGTAACACTTTGTAGAAAACGAAAATCTGAAGTATGGCTAACAAAATAATCTTAAACCACACAAGTCCACAGGCTATTTTTCATAATAATATCCCGGATTGTTGGCAGGAGTTGTTCCCTACATGCTCAATAACTGAAAGCTTGTCAAATTCAAACTAGCAAATCTCTTTGCAAAACTGCAACTTTCAATAATATTCCACTAGAAACCAAACACCGAACAATACAACAAAATTAAAATACACTGCCTCTTATCTAACCGATGATCTTGGGGGAATAAGCCACAAAATACAAAATAAATTTGTAGATGTTTCTCGAGGTATTTATAACTTAATCTCAAGATGGGCATGATGTTATCATGAACCTCCTCTGGTTCGGTGCTTCCAATATCACTCTTTAAAACTCTTTTCCAAAGCTTCACATTCAAGCTATAACTTAGAACGCCACCAATGACCTTTGCTATCAATGGAGACAGTAAAAGCTTTTTAACCATGTTTCAAGCAATGCATCTTAATTGTTGATGATCATCAATGTTGTTTGCATCAGCAAATGCATGGGTGTTAAGTACCTGCAAACGCTCATCTTCCTCCAAGCCCCCTAGTCTAAATGTTTCGCCTGCAAACGCTCATCTTCCTCCAAGCCCCTTAGTCTAACTGAATCCATCCGAGTTGTGACCAAAATTTTACTCCCCAATTTTCCATAAGCCAGATTTGCATTTATTCCTCTCCTCCTCGTCCTCCCAAATATCATCCAGAACAAGCAAAAACTTCTTGCACTGCACCCCAAACAAGAGACTCTCTTGAAGAACAGCAAGTGACTCAAGCCGAGGCCTCTTCTTCTCAACATGTTCCGACATATCAGCAATGACATTTTTTGCATCAAAGTTGTTGGAAACACAAAACCACATTTTAAGATCAAATTCGTCTTTCACATCTTGAAAGACATGGTGTAAGAGAGTGGTCTTCCCCATACCACGATGACCTACTATAGACAAAATAGAAATGCTTTTGTTAGAACTAGTGCCGGTTAGCTCTTCAATTGATGGTTCCCTCAACCACCGCATAACAAACTCTTTTTCCTTGCCTCGACCGATGAAAACAAATCCAAGGTAGGATCCCCTTGCACCATCGTCATAAAGCTGCTGCTCCTTCGCTTGCTCCACCTGCTTTGTTTCTTTAAAAATAGGAAAGAAAGCACTTAACCTCAGCAGAAAGTTTATCAAGTCTCTACACAATCTCCACCAGCCTCTTCAAGTTGCAGTCAATTTTGAGGACAAGTCCGCCTAAATTGCGAAGTTTGCTAGCTCCTTCAGAAAGGAAACTAGTGGCGGCGGAATGTTTCTTTGTTTCCTCCATGTTTTGTTCGGTCACCCGTTCTTTGAGCTTCAGGTACTCAAACTCATCGAGCAAATCATCTGCCTCATCAATGACATCTTGTAGCTGCCATATCCAGCTGTTGAGTTCCGAGTTCTGATCTGTGATGTGTGCTTCGTTGGAAGCAGAGAGGACAACTTGCTTCTTGCAGTGGTTCTCTCGAAGCCTTTGCAGCTCCTTCTCCATGCTATTCTGCCATCCAAAATAGTCTTGAAGGTACTCAAAGCAAGTGTTGATGATCTTATCCAAGATTTGGTCAATAAACAATTCTGCCATTGCAGGGTAGAGAAGGAGAGATAGTGGAAGAGGGTAAGATATGAAATCCGACAATGGGAAGTTTCAATAAAAATATGAAGTCAGACTTTGGGAAATTACAATTCCTTTGTAATTTAAAACTATTCCAATTGTTCTTTTCCGCCATTGAATCTTTCTATTTAAGAATCTCAACAAACAGACAAAATGTTATAATAAATAAATAATTTAAATGGAAATTGAATATTATTATGTTGCTTTCAACTTTATGGAGTAAATGAGTTGAAAAGGTGCTCAAAACTTGTTCCTCAATTTGAACGTACCAATTCTTACAGATCAAATTTGGACATACATTTATGTGTCACAATAGAGAATGGAGAACTTTGATGCTAATTAATCACCTTTGATGATTACTATGTTGAAGATCTAACCATCTTATAGCATGAATCTATAACTATTATTATTATGAAAAATTCTCATTATTAAAAGTATTTTTATTTATTACATTTTTTTGACTCTTCTATTGTTTATATATAAGCACAACCTTCTATCAATACATTATTTGGTTCAATAAATAAGGGTTGAATAACAAAATAATCCCCCAGCAACTCACAAGTGCTCATTTAATTCCAACATCACATTTCTTCAATTTAATCATTCTCTTATAGAAAATTGATCTAGAATGTTATCTCAAAGACTACATAGCGATCAATTTTATATAGTCGAGAGAGATGAGATTGTGAACAATTTTGCATCACAATTAGCAAGAAACATTTAAGAACCAATTTATCTTAACTCATAATATTCCACCAAGCAGCTAGGATTCTAAAGGTGGACTCCACATATTCAAGAAGTGGCTTCCCCTCATTTAACACTTTGTCACATATAGGATTCAATAGGTTACTCTGGGGCGTAGATTTAATTATGTGACATACGATTCAAGAGAAAATTTTTCTTTAATAATCGGAATAGCTCAACACAAATACAAAGATAAACAACTACAATTCGAGAGGTGTTCCCACAATTCGAGAGATGAAAAATCTTTCTCAGACCCTAAACATAAGACTCACAAGAATAATCTCATGCATATCCAACCCTAAATCTATTAGGGACTATTTATACTAAACAATAATAAATAATAAAAGACTCAATTTCCCTTAGGCTAATAAAAGACTAAATTACCCTTAAGCTTGTCCGGCATAACCGTGACACTTACTTCCTATCTTTAGATTGATGTAATGCTATGATATCATTTGTAACACCCTAACTCTCACCCATAAAGATATTTTTCACTTAAGCCTAGACCACATAGTAATCCCATTGGTGTAGCTTCCTAAGAGATTGCCCATCATAAGAGTGCTCATACAAGCACATTTACCTTTGAAATTTCTAATGAATTTCCAACCATTACACCAAAAGGCACATGAATGTTAAAGAGTTAAACTTCCTTCTACTTAAGAAGTTCCACATATAATTCCTATTCAACATTTACTCACAGCACTAAATTTAAGAAATGAAGAGATACAATAGATATAACAAGCTAAATATTGCCCCTCATAATTAAACTTTTGTATGCATTTCTACTACAAAACATTGCCCCCATCATGATGGAAACTTACACAGAAATCAGCATAACATAGCCAAAAAAATGAAAGAATAAAGAAGCTTAAGCCTGTTTCTTTCGTGCAAGGGGAAGTGGCCATTGGTCCCTCACCCCTACTACCACTCATTTGAATAGGAAGCATAGAGCTTCCAGCTAGTTGGCAAGCTTGTTGGCAGTAACACTTTGTAGAAAACGAAAATCTGAAGTATGGCTAACAAAATAATCTTAAACCACACAAGTCCACAGGCTATTTTTCATAATAATATCTCGGATTGTTGGCAGGAATTGTTCCCTACATGCTCAATAACTGAAAGCTAATCAACTTCAAACCAGCAAAGCTCTTTGTAAAACTGCAACTTTCAATAATATTCCAATAGAAACCAAACACCTAAGAATATAATAAAAGTAAAATACACTGACGCTTATCTAATTTATTATGATAGCAGCTCTTCTCGGTAAGTGTTATAATATTTATTAAATTTATATTTTACCCAAAAAAATCATTTCACTGGCATACCCATATAACCATCAAAAAGAGGTTAAGGAAATTAGTCAACCAATGTACAATTAAAAAGCTTCCATCCACAATAACTTCCTTACAAAATAAATAAAATTATCACTAAACAAAGGGTCATAATTTTTTTGGTATATAAGGAAATCTCATAAACTGGCATTCTCCCATGGCTAATTTACAACTACTTTCAAAAGGGCATTCGTTAAAATCCAATTGTAAGATGTCCTTCCAGCCTACTGTCTAGTTTTTTTCTATTTAAAAACTATCACAAATCTAGGAGGATGCAAACAAGTTCTAAACTTTTCTTCTAAAACACAGCCTAGGCTCAGAAAACCGTATGAAATTAAAAGAGATTACAGGCTAAAACCTGAATTGCCACATACTCAAGAAAATAATTTTATTGGTATAATAACAAGTTCAAACCAAAGAATAAGATAATGAAGGTTTATAATAAGAAAATCTCAGGGTTCGGACTAAACACAAGGAAATGATAATGTCATCAGAAGAAAGCATTAGACCCGTAATGCAAGGGATCTTGGTTGCCAGAAACACTTGAGACCAAATTTGTGTGAGTAGAAAAGCATATAAAAAAGGCCATCAAGAAGAACCCCTTGGGTCAAATGACTCATCATAACCCTCTAAAAAACCAACCCTTGAATGAGGAGGGAAATACTAAACTGCAAAAGAGGCACAAGCAGCCAAAAGCCATTTCACAACCAGAAGAACCACTTGGTTGCTTACAGAGACCACCGAAACTCCCATCTTTCTCATCCTTCAACTCCGCTAAAATCATAAACCATTGAGGAAGGTAAGGCTGTTCACGCCATTCTTCCTCTTCACTCATCCCAAATTTACTAAATCCGTCCATTCACAGGATTTATTAAATCCCAGATTTATCGTGAATCGGCATCATTTCGAGATTTAGGAGAGCTCGGGATTTAAGGAGGCATTTTTTTTATCATTTGGCAAGATTTAGCTTGAAACCGGCTGCCAATCAGCCTCTTTTTCTGGCTGAAATCCTGCTTGAAACCGGCTGCCAATCAGCCTCTTTTTCTGGCTGATGAAATAGCAAGATTTCAACAATAAGAAACATTATAATTTAAGACTGCCCGGTTTTGATCTTTAACAGATAACTGCAATAAGAGGATAGGATACTACTGATAATTTCCAGCTCATTGCGCAGTAAACTCAATATAAATGATCCATCCATGTACTTAATGGTGCCATGGAGATAGACACTAAAATTACATTATCACGACAACAATTCCACGAGATTCATCTTATGACAGAATTTGGCAAAGCAAAGCTCCTCCACATTCTTCACATTTTCAAAAAGTTTGATTTTTAATTGGTAAAAATCATTCATAGGTTGTTTCAGTCTCTGATCAGCGCTCGGCTGAAAGCAAAGACAACAGCTTTGATCTTGAGCTGCTTCTCTAGCAGCATTTCAGGCTTTCAGCCCCTCCTCCTTCATGCATGTCTGTCATCCGACATTAACTTTTTTTTGGAAATCAAATCTCCAAAATAAATCAGAAAAAGGAGATTTACATACATACCAACAAATTCGTGTGTCTTTACAAATCTAAAGAAAGCCAAAAAAAAAAA